AATGAGAAGTCACAAGGGCTTGCAACAGTAACCTGCTTGCTGCATGCAACCAGGTCAAAAAAACCTTTCAAGAAATCAAAATGCATGTGTAGGTCTATTAGAATGCTTTGCATCAGTTTAGTAGCATTTTATATTACATTTATAGCCCCAATGTTTTGCTCTTACACAAAACTCAAGGAAGTTTACACAGTCATTTTCCTTTCCATTTTATTCTGTGAAGAAGGTTAACATCTTCTACTGAAAGTTTGCTGTCCAACAATAGCACAATTCCCTTCTTTCAGCACTTCTAGTGCAGTTCTTCCTAGCTTACAGGGAACTTAACTAATTGAAAAATCATTACACAGTAGTATTATTTGGACCAATCAGAGTATCATAAAATACTAAGCAAGCTTTTAGGCTAACTTTGTGAAAAATTAGTAAATATTTGCCAACTGTACTTTCTATTGTCTATACAATGTGGAAATATATGCTATACTATTATCTGATTGTAACTGACATGCCTCTACTTTTTCCTTCATACATTTCCAATAATTAACTATTTCATATGCAGAATAATGGTGAAGTACTACAGTACTACAGGTAATGTAGAATACCTGGTATAGCCAAAACATATGAAAGCTGCTATTACAAAAATCACAGAAATTGCCTTGTCTAGCCTTCAAATGATTTTTCATTTGAAAAAAAGCCTGTTGTATGTGACCAAACAAAACATTATTTCCTCTTCATGGGCTTGAATATAGAGATGAAAGAACGCAAGAGATTTAGATCTAAGTATTCTTCTACAAAAGCAGTAAGAAAAACTACAGATGAAGTATCTATAAATAGCAAATACTGTACAAATATACAATACAAAGAGCATAGAAACTGTAGAGTTATAGGATCAGATCACAAACACATGTTCATCATACAAAGACTTGCACATGTGAAACAACTTCTACATTTCAATCAAATACAAGAATGTTCGTATTACCTGATAGCACAAACAAAGTATTTCAGTTTACTTGCTCAGCTGAGAGACATCAGGACAGATGGTGGAGGTTTCTGAATGTCAACATTTAAATCAGATACAAATATATTGTCATAAATTAACAAAATAGAGGGCTATCTCAAAATCTGGTTTTTCATTAATCCTGTAATAACTTTCTACAATGATCACCAGTGTGGACTGGACTAATTAATCCATATTCTTAAAACACATTGTAATAATATTCTGGAATTCAATTTGATTAAATTCAGCTTGAATTTTTTTCTATGCTTACACTTCCTGCTTTAGGGCAGACAGCAGCACTCACATACTAAGTAATTCCTCCATGCTGTCTAACAATGACATGAAACTGCTGGGAGATGTCATTTGGAGTTTGGGCTGAGTCAGCAATATGCCAATGATACTCAGCTCTGTCTTTTTTTTTTTAATCTAAACCAGGTGTGGCTCTCACCATCCTGAGTGGGGGCCTGGGCTCATTAATGGACTGGATAAGTGTCAATAAACTGAGGCTTCATGCTGGTAAGACAGAGGTGCTATTGGTACGGTGGGGATCCTCTGACAGGCTGGAGGGGAACTACTCTGTCCTGGATGGGGACACACTCCCCCTAAGGGACAGGGTACACAGTCTAGGAGTGCTTCTGGACCTGTGTCTGTCCTCAGAACACCAGGTGGACTCAGTGTCCAGAGTGCATTTGCTAGCTGTGGCAGATTTACCAGCTTTCAGGGGGAACCTGAAAATAGTTACCCATGCACTGATAACTTTCAAAATAGATTGTAATGCACTTTGTGGGGCTGCCCTTGAACACAGTCTGGCAATTGCAACTGGTACAAAATTGGGCTGCTCGGTTGGTGAGTGGCACTCCTAGAGTGGTCCACATTCTGTTTTGAAGGAATTACGCTGGTTACCAGTTAGGCCTAGGCCTAATTCAAAGGTACTTGTTTTAACATATAAAGCGCTAAATGGCCTGGGGCCCAGTTAACAGAAGGACAACCTATACCCATCTACCAGCCCCTTAAGATCAGCTCAGGAGGCCCTTCTACAAGAGCCACCTCTCAGGGAAATAAGAGAGG